AACAATATGATATGTTTCACGTTTTCTTTTATTCAGGATAATGATAAAGTATACACATAATAGTAATATATGTTAAATATTACATTTTTCTTACACATTTTGACCTGTCATATGTAGAAGATTTAAAGACAAAAATCTGAAAACTCTTGAATGAATTCGTCTTTTCTTCCCAGAGATTCATATTGACAGATTTTTGTGAGCTGAATTTACTGGCACTATCTTGAAATACAACTAGTATAATAGCTTGTTAAGACATTAACAATTCAATGGTAATATATGATATATTAATAAATAAAAAATGTAATATAAGATCTTCGATATATACCCATAAGTGGCGTCACATGCTGAACAGAACGTATATAACAGTATGATTGATTATATTTAGTCTCATTTCTCGGAAAAACATTTGCTGATGTCAAGGGCTTGGATATTAGTTATCGATATTAAATGTGATTATTACCTGCATATTAATTATACAATCAATTAACATTAATTAATAACAAATAATTAGATAATAATTGCTTTCAATTTGTATATTAATTATATAATTAATTAATTAATTTCATTTGCACAATAATCAACCTATTAATTATTTCACCTGGAATTAATAAACCATTAATTAAACACTAATTTTGTAATTTACACGTAATTAACAAATCATTAATTGTTAATTAGCATACCATTTGCATATTGATTACTATGACATCACACTTCAGTTCCCATTGTGACATGCTAACTACTCCTATATCTTGTGTAAGTTTTCTTGTTCTTGCAAATTATAAAAATCTGTAATGAACTTCTATGCATATATTAACCAGTTCCACTTTTATAGATTTTCTCATGTTTCAAAGTGTTTTGAATGAGCTATAGCGTATGATATGTATTAAGTGTGACCAATTTATAACTTCCAGTGACTTCACGTGAAAGAGTCAATGCTCAGTCCAGTTCAGTATACATAACAGTGATGCACTTTCTCTTCATAGCCTAATAAAAATCCGTCCTAAATCATGTAAATGAGTTTTATACAGCATACATTATATTCAATCCTATATTCAATCCCTACTATAAATCATAATAATTAATATTAAATATTTAATTTGAAAAACTCATAAATGAAAAAAAGACTCCAGATCTGAGACTTAAATCTGTGACCTGTAGCTAAAAAGGTCAGTACAAGCAATATGCGTCAACGTATACATATAAAGCTGCCCACCATGAGTATGATCACCATATTACATTAGAAAAACCAAATCATATACATCTATCACAGTTTACAATTAATTGATTAATGACACAAAGATACACAGTGGGCGATTACGAGTATTGAAACCGGATTTCTAACGTTATGAGACTATAGACTTACCGCTGTGTCACTGAGAGAGCATTTCTATAAGAAAACATTGAAATAGTAAAATTCTGCTTCTACGATGTGATCTTGTGGTCTATCATATTTATGGCAAGATTTTCACCAGATTATTGAATGTTCTGCAGATCTTGTTAACTTTGTAGCTGTAGGAACTCTTCAATATCACCATTTATGGTTAATTATTAAGTTCAAATTTCTGAAATAGGCAACTTTAACTGTTATTAATTGTGCTTGTAGTATTCAATATCAAAGCTCTTGTGTTTCCAGTGGAAAATTCATTGGTTGACTTATGAAGAGCTATTTCTTAAAATGTTGAGAGTATTGTTACGTCTCCGTTTGTTAATTGATTTCCCGTAACTTCGTTCGACGAAACTTTAGTGACACAAGTCCTTACTTAATAAAACTGGTTTATTCTTTCCGAATATAACTTTACGATACACTTAATTTCAACAATCGCGCTAAAACAAACGCTATAACAACGAACGTGCTCAACTTCAATAATACTCTCTGACAGCAGATCAATTACTCACTGTCTACACACACACATATCTTGTCACGTCACGCCGTGACCATCTTATATATATCAGACTACCCTATATCTAGTAAATGCTAGAGCACTTCCGAAGGAACGGGATAGTTCTAGAAAGCAGGTGGCATGACAATAGTCACGTGATCTCGCTGACGCAACAGTATGGATAAAAATCTTTAAGTTATGATACTAGTTCATGTGAGGGGTTTGAGAATGTTCTCACAATCACTTGTTTCTTGTTGTTGAGCTACATGACCATCTGGATATCGGTGTTAATCTTCATGTAATAGAGGTTAAAGAAATCCCTACATTGGTTGTTATTAGAGAATGAACCACACTTTGCTTATGTTGTAAGAAAATGGGTCAAGGCAGGGAATATTTAGCGGTGCTTGTGCTTCCTTTCGCGAGTGTAAATTATTTGGACACTCTAGTGATCAGTGTTAGGGTCATAGTTATTCTTCGTTCAATTGCCCTACAGTTAATGATTTTGATGATCCATTACCTCAAGATTTGGCTAATTCTCTTTCAACTAAAGGTGAAGAGAAACCTGCACCTATTGAAATTCTTCATTCTCAGAATTGTTCAGAGTAACAAAGTTCACTTCAGCAGATCTTTGATTGGTCTTACGCAGTTCCAGCTGAAACTATAATTATGACTGGTGATTGTACAATAAAATAGGCTACAGTCCCAGTAGACACTGGTGTACTTAATAAATCACAGAAAAACAAGGTTTCGAATGACTTGTAACAAGAAGTGACAAGATGGACTTTTACTAAACTTTTGAGTCATTTTCCTTCTTTGGTATCAGAGTCATATATTTGTCAGATGCAAACCATGTCAAGCTTTACAACTTTTACAGGCTGTACTTGTTGTCATTATTCAATGTGATACAACCAATTACCAGTCAGGAAAAAATAAATAAATTTGCAAGCTCAGCAACTAGAATTAAAAAATAGAGACGACCAAAGAGTTATGGCACTTGATAAGAAGAAACTGTCCAAATAACCTCAGGCATTGTCTATTGATACTGTACCTACTTCCAATTATCATACCAACTTTAAAGTTCTGAATAGTGGTACATGATTGTTCTGTTATGTCGACGTATAAGTTGTTATACATTAGTATTAATGGCTGTTATCAAACATTCAGTACTCCATAACAAACACCTTATGGAAATGTTACATAAATTTACTTCTCAGCTGAAAAGTATGCATAATGCCTGACGTTCTATGATAGAAAAAGCAGCTCTATAGTAAGAAATTGACAGTTTTTGCTCAAAAACATGGAAGATGCAAAGATTCGTTCTCGTATTCAAAAGTTTCATAACCATGAATAACATATGAGGTATTTTTTGAGATAACAAAAGGAGAGGAGTGACCAGAATTTTTTGAGAAATTCAAATTGATAATGCTATATGTCACGACAGTGACAAAATTCTATCCTACTTTACCAATTATTTTCTACATTCTATAAACATCTTAAAATTGATACCTTGTTGTGTGGATATTTTTTTATATATGCCACTTGTCTGATATTGATAATTAGAGCCTCTCACGGGAATTTATTTGATGAATGTTCCTACCATTGAACTTATGGATATTAATGAATCACTAGGATTGGTTGACAAACTGGGCTAGAATACAGAAATAATTTCAGACTGACAAAAATTATTTAAGATGTTCAAAAGATGGAAGAATTAAATAGATGGCACTATAAATGATAGAAATGTTGTTGAAATTTCGGGCCTAAACCCTTCTTCAAAAATGTTAATCTCAAGAACACCAGTTGTGCAGCATTCTATAAAAGCATGTTCCATATACCTTATTCTCAGTTCCTTTGTCTCAATTGTCTGTGCAGTAATGTCAAAGACAAATCTAATGAACTAGTTGTTTCTTTTTTCTAGACAGGGTTACTTTACCTCTATAATTATTAACGCCCATAATAAAGCCAAATTCATCTTCCAACCAGAAACTTCATCGATGCAACCACATCTCTCTTATAGTACCCCATGATCCCACAGTTTCTCAAGAAATTAATGAAATCATCTTTGACAACTTTTATGTTTTACAGAACGACCCTCCAACTAAGGATAATCTTCCTAACTGTTGTCTACATAACCTGTGATTTCATGATGTCCTTGTACATGCCAGTTTATATGCTGATGAAACACTAATTCTGGATGTTTTTCATGATGGCATTATTTTTGTGTTGAAGCAACTTGAAAATTTTCGAGGGAATCTTACAATTTGCTTCAGAGTTTTAGAGTTTTAGTAGTTGAAATTACATAGAAGAAAACTTAAGGGTTTTAGTATAAGTGAGTAGTGAAGGATATATAAAAAGAGGCGACAAGAGGACGCCTGTGTTGCTGCGAAATGAGCCTTGAGAATTAATAAAAAAGGACAGGAGCCTAGTTATGTAGGGCGTGTTGCTTAGAAACAAGTAACAAGACACGTGTATTACGAAATAAGCTTGTGAAGCGGGCCTGGAAACCAGCGACCAAGGTCGGCAGCATAGTTAGTAAGAAATGCTGCCTAGAAACAAGATGAATACACCAGTACTTATGACAAGTTGAAGAATTACTGACCTCAACCTCCTAGAACTAAGAAAGCTACAGAAAAGTTTGGTTTGGTGAAGCATATCGGCACATTGAGGTGGTATTAGTTACAGCACATGGGTGTAGCAGTAGAAGTGAATGGGCAGCCAGCTAACACCACTTATCTGTAACCAATTACTTGAGAGTTTTGGTTATGGTTCTGGTTTAGCCCAGGAATTCCCCTAAAGCAGGGATTCTCAACTTTTCCTCCATTATTAACCCCCTCAGCTTGATGTATTTCTCCATTTACCCCCTTACTTCCATACAAAAAATTCATAGTCATCATAAAAGGACAGAAAAACAAGAATGTCAGAAAAAATATTATTCAGGTTTTGCATGAAAATAGCAATATACATTCGTATCACCAAAAATAAAGAAAATAAAACATTCTTTTCTAAAGAATAAATTATACAGTCCATTTTTATCACAAAAAATAAAACCAAACAGAAACACCAGAAGCATTATCAGTGGGAACACTGCTGATCCATTGAGTCAATCAGTTTGTTTATGCGAGGAGTTGTAGATGACAATACTACTCTCATATCATAATCAGATTTCAAACAGTTCCTGGCCTTTGTCTTCATTGCTACTAAACTTGAGAACCCTGATTCACATAAGTATGTAGTGACAAAAGGAACAAGCACTTGGAAAGCATGCCGAGTAAGGAGTGGGAATGAATCTGCGAGTTTTACTCAAAAATGAACACAAACCTTTTCAAATTCTTCTCTAAGAGTAGCTGAGGATTGAAGATCAATCAGCTCCTGTATTGCTGGGTCATCATCTTTCATTTCTGATAGTTCATTGGCAAAAGGTCTTATTATCCACCTCTCTGTTAGAATCATGTCTTTTGAAAAGTAGCCAATGAAGTGATTCTTCAAGATTTTCAAATTTTCTGTGATGTCTTCATTCATCTCAGGTAACACTCCATATCTTTCTTCATCCAAGTTTGGAAAATTTGCAAAGATAAGTCCAGCTTTCTCTGCAATGCTGTCATCTTTTCACTTGCTTCAATAATGGTTACTGACGTTCCCTGGAGTTGTTTGTTGACTTGGTTAAGATGGGTAAATATATCTGAGAGGTACCCCAAACAGGCGGTGAACTTCGGATCAGCAAAGTCTTCACGCAGCTTTGAATTCCGGTCACAAAGAAAAATCTCTAAGTCAGTACGGAGCTCAAACACACGATTTAAAATAAGTCCACGAGAAACAACCTCACATCAGTATGGAGTAAAAGAATGGAATGATCAGACCCCTTTTCATTACAAAAAGCTTTGAACAAATGGTGATTCAAAGCTCGGGCCCAAATGAAGTTAACAGCCTCAACACCTTTCTGCAAAACAATTTTCAGATTTTCAGAAAGAGTTCTTGCAGCTAATACATGTCTGTGAAGAACATAATGTGTTGTTATCACATGGGGTGCCTTTTGCTTCACAAGTGCAGTGAAGCTTGATCTCACTCCCATCATGGCTGGAGCTCCATCAGTACAGATTGAACCAACAATGTCCCATGTGAGATCGTTCTTTTCAAAGAAGTCTTGTATTTTCTGCATTATATCAATAGCCTTTGTGGTTTGTCCGAGAGGTTCACAAAAGAGAAATTAATTTTTAGTTCTTTTCCACATATGTAACAGACAAAAACAATGTGAAAAATTGGCTACATCACAGGATTCATCAAGTTGCAAAGAAATTTTTGCTGGGCTAGATTTGATCTGTTCAACAACTTGTTGACAAATATCTTGCGACATTTCTATAATATGCTGATGAATTGTGTCATTAGAAAGAGGAATGGCTTGAATCTTCTGTTTTTCTTTATTTCCACGTACATGTTCAACCATGTCTAAAGCACAAGGTTTAATCAGCTTGTTGGCTATGTCATGAGGTTTCTTTGCCTTTGCTATTCGCATTGCTACAAGATAGGAAGCTGCAAGCATTGGTTTCTTCTCAGATACGAAGCCAAGTTTGGGCAGTGTTCCTGCAGACCTAAACCTAACTCTATTTGCCTCAAATGTAGCACAGTCATAAGATGCATGGGCAGGATGTGTAGCTTCCAGATGCTGTTTCAATATTGAAGGTTTCAGTGACCCATTTTCAAAAACTTTTGAGCACAGCAGACACTGAGGCTTCTCCACACCATCCACAACAATGAAGTCAAAACCATATTGTACATATGAATCCAGGTATGTACGTTTTTTGGACATGACGAAATATGAAAAGAAATAATTATGAATTAGTATAGTGACTGTATAGGACTGAACAGGATTGACTGACACTCTCCCTTCCTCCCCTCCTTCCTCTCTCCCTCATGCATGCACATGAGCACACACACATACATTCTTAGAATTCTCCCTCTCTCTCTCTCTCACACACACACATTTTACAAAATAAAATTTAATTGAATTATTAATCAATCATCAGGTACATCAATTATTTACCCCTGCCATGTAATATTTTACCCCTGGTTGAGAATCACTGCCATAAAGTATCCAATGGGAGCACAGAACTACTTGTGGGTGATGCTGTGTCCTATTTAGTGAGTCGAGATAATACAGAGAAAAGATAGTTTAAAAACACATGTCAGAGGCTGAAAAGTTAAGTTCTCCAGGATGGAAGAAGAGCTCCCTGGACTGAAGAAAAGTGCTCCAGGACCAAAGAGTATTCTCTAGGCTAAAGCTATGAAAATGAAGATGACAAACGTAGCTAAGACTTCTAACAATCCAACTCTACTGTAAGTATAATCTCTCTCTCTCTTAATCAGCTAGTGTAGAAATCATAGAAGATAGTAAATGTATGTAGATAAAGTTTTAATACGATATATAAAGGTAAAAACTTCGATAAACTAATGTTTAAAGTGTGTAATGTGTTTGAGTAAGTTGTAAATGTTAGAATAAATGTTATTTTGAGTGTTCACTCTTGGCCTGAGACT